CACATTCAATAGGATGCTGGCCATAGGTTTTTCATAAATTGCTTTGATAATATTGAGGAATGTTCCCTCTATACCCAATTTTCTTAGAGTTTTCATCATGAAATGGTGTTGAATTTTATCAAATGCTTTCTTTGCATCAATTGAGATAATTATATGGTTTTTCTTCTGCAGTCTGTTAATGTGGTGAATCACATTGATTTATTTGTGAATGTTGAACCATCCCTGCATACCAGGGATGAATCCCACTTGGTCTGGGTGGGTGATTTTTCTGATGTGTTGTTTTATTCTATTGACCAGAATTTTATTGAGGATTTTTGCGTCTATGTTCATCAGGGATATTGGTATATAATTTTCTTTCAGTGCTGCATCTTTCTCTGGCTTAGGGATTAAGGTGATGCTGGCTTCATAGAAAGAATTTGGGAGGATTCCCTCTTTTTCATTTGTTCTGAATAGTTTGAGAAGAATTAGAGCCAGTTCTTCTTTAAATGTCTGGTAGAATTCAGCAGTGAATCCATCTGGTCCTGGGCTTTTCTTTGTTGGGAGGGCCTTTATTACTGTTTCAATTTCTGTTTCAGTTATGGGTCTATTTAGGTTTTCTATGTCTTCATGGTTCAACTTAGGTAGGTTGCATGTGTCCAGGAATCTATCCATTTCTAATAGATATTCCTGTTTGCTGGCATACAAGTCCTTGTAGTAATTTCTGATGATTCTTTTTATTTATGTGGTGTCTGTTGTTATGTTTCCTTTTTCACCTCTGATTTTATTGATTTGGGTCTTTTCTCTTCTTTTTTTAGTTAGTTGGGCCAATGGGGTGTCAATTTTGTTTATTTTTTCAAAAAACCAGCTTCTCGTTTGGCTTATTTTTTGTAACTTTTTTTGGATTCAATCCTGCTAATTTCTTCTCTGATTTTAATTATTTCTCTTCTCCTACTAGATTTGGGTATGGTTTGCTGCAGTTTTTCTAGGTCCTTGAGATGTGCTGAAAGCTCATTTATTTGGTACCTTTCCAATTTCTTGATGTAGGCACCTATTGATATAAACTTTCCTCTTAACCCTGCTTTTGCTGCATCCCATAAGTTTTGGTATGTTGTGCTGTTATCCTCATTTACTTCCAGAAAGTTTTTGATTTCTCTTTTGATTTCTTGAATGACCCAGTAGGAACCCAATTACTTGAGCCATCTCCCTGCTGCTTCTGAGGGCCAGTATTGCCAGGAAGCTGTGTTATGTGTATCCTAAAGCAGAGAGTCTGTGGTTTTCCAATTGGGTGAGACCAAGCTCTGTCTACCATTTTCTTTCAACCAGGGGACCCTATCCCTCAGAAAACCTCTCTATTTCCATCTCTTTGTACAGTAATCATCTGTCTCACAGTGTATTTGTGTGTATGTGGTCAGAGGAATGTAAATAAAACCCTTTGAGGTGAGTCTGCTTATATCTGTTGATATCCACCCCTCTCCCAGCCCAGCACTAAGCTATCCCTTGCAATAGCGAAAAGTGGGCAAAGATTTACCCAAAGTAATGTGGGAAGTAGACAGGAAGCAGCACAATAAAACCCTAAAATGCATCCCCACTGCCTGTAGCAACTCCACACAAAACCCCTGTGGCATCTAGGAATCTTCCATTATAGCCACCATTTTGGGAAAGAAAACAGCTGTTTATGTTAGAATGCTGTGTTATTTCTGTTTTCCTGCATAATAATACCACACATAACAATAAGAGCACACACTTATTATCTCAGAGTTTCTGTGGGTGAGGGTCTGGGCATGGCCCACCTGGGTCCTCTGCAGCCTGCTGTATCAAGGTGTCAGGCAGGACTGGGTTCTCATGTGAAGAGAAAAAGAATGCTCTACCTCAACCATGTGGGCTGGAGAAAGGGTTCAGGTCCTTGCAGTCTCTGGAACTGTGGGTTCTGTGTTCTTGCTCACCTAAGCTGGAGGCCATGCCCAGTTCCTTGTCATGTGGACCTCTACAACATCGCCACACAACTTCATCAAAGCCAGGAAGAGAAGAGTCTCCTAGCAAGACAAGCATTAGACTCTGTGTCAGCTTTTGTTGTAATATACTGGTTGGAAGCGCATCGCATCCCAACCACACTGAAGGGGAAGGGATCATGCAAGGACATGACTTTCCAGGAGACTTGTGAAATGCAAGTCACAGTCCCTTCTGTGGGATCTGGAAACCACCTTTCCTCGAAATTTTTGAAAGTCATTGAAGGGTTTTAAGCAGTAAAGCACCATCACATTCTGGCATTACAATGGTCACTACCCAAAAGGAATGGAGAACAGATTGGTGGGAGAGAAAACTTGACTTAAGGAATTCATTTAGGATGATTATGTTTGTATTCCTAAAGAAATGATGGGGCCCCCAATCAAGGGAACACTAGTGAAAACAGAAGTGGACAAATTGGAGGGTTATTTAAGTCATATAATAAATAGGACTCAGTGTTAAAAAAAATAGCCAGTGAGGGAGAAGACGAGAATATTCCGGTTCTGGGTTGTGCAACTGGTGTGGGAAGCAGTATCATTCACCGAGAAGGGACGACAGTTTAGACATGCTGAGTTTGAGGGGGTTGAATCAGTGTACACTCCCTAGCAAGAACAAACGTTTCTGATAGATTGAAACTAATTGTTATGCCTCCAAAGAGGCTATTGCTTGAACATTTTTTTAATGGTTCAATTTTTCCAGCTCATCTCACACAGGTGAATTTTAAGTATTACAGGTAGCCTACAGATGCAAGAACATCGGACGGAGTCTGCATCCAAGCCCTGTTCCTAAGAACCTAAAACCGTTCACGTTGTTTGAAGACAAAGGATGAGTTTGAGGAGGGCAAAGGCATGGATAAAAGCCAAATACTCCAACATGCCTAACAACACATTAACCTGGTTTAAACTCAGCAGTCCTAAGTGCCGCACTATGAGCACAGGGGTAGACAAAGCCCAAGGAGGAACCCACGTCTCAGGCGTTCGCTGCCTCCCCAACTCAGTTATCACATGCTAGACACGCCGCCAAAAACTCTTGCGAGAGGGAAGGATCCTGCTGGAACCTCGGAGCCTCATGCGCACTCCCACCTGTGAAACAGGCTGGCGGGGCGCAGGCATTGCTGGGAACTGTAGTTCTGAGTGGGAAAAGGCCCGACAGCCTCGCTCCGCTGTTTCTTAGGCATGCGTGACTCTGAGCTGGCCCAAGAAGTTTGTAGCCTTTGTCCAGCCTGGGATGGGAGGTGAGTTGGGTGTGTGGGCTAGGTGTTGGGCCTGGGGATTGTTCCGTGAGGAGTCTGTGTTTGATAAAGGGGGCTGGAGGGACTGACCACAAGCTGGAAGCCCTCCCTCTGGGACACCGGTGCGCGACGGGCGGGGCGGGCAGAGCCGCGGACGCGGGGCAGGCGCTGGTCTGGGGCCAGCGCCTGGAGCGGAGTGGGACTTGTCCACGCTCCTTGTGCTCCAGGGATGACCCCCGCATCATCTTGGGCCCCCACCCCCACCCCAAGGACTGCTGCCGAGGGGAGGGACGAGTAAGGACCCAGCCTCAGGGTGCTGTCCCAGGCTTTCCAGGCTCCTGCTTGGTGGGACCGAGGCAAGCTCCACCGTGAGCCAGACACCATCCAGACCTGACCATGGCCTTTCTGCAGATTCCCCCACGGGAAGGCAGCAAGGAGGACTGCGAGACCCTTGAGGGCTTCTGGCTGTTCTGCCCGCAGAGTCCTGAGCTGGGGAGAAGCACAGCATCTTTGGGGCATGGAGGAGGCTGGGAGCATGGAGACAGATTTGGCGAAATGCCGAGGAAGAGGTAGGATTGAACCTGTGGAAGGGCGGGATTCTACTCTGGAAGGGAAAACGGTTGCTTCGGGGGAGATCCCTGCTTGCTGGCTGTCGCGATCATCTTGGGGATGCATGGGCTCTTTGGAGTATGCAGGGCTTGGGGTGGAGCTACAGCCCTGCAGGGTGCTGGTAGACCCTTCAGAACCACCAAAAACAGCAAAATGCTAAGCTCTAGAGGCATGAGCATAGTGTCCTCAATTACTTTTTCTCACGTTTTTCCTCCCAAGTTATTGTCCCAGCGGTCTCCATCCGGTGGTCTGAGAATTAAGGTTTGCTCTTGGCAAAAAACAGGGCCCCAAACCTGCTACCCACTTATCTGTACAATTACCCTGTGATTTCAGTACAGCGAATTTTGTCATTGAACATACAAGAAAACAGATGTGGAAGTTGGTCAGCGACTTCCAATTCTGCTAGACCAATGGTCACTTGAAGTTTGGTTTGTGATCTCTACATGAGATTTCTCTTCCTTCTCTCATACTTAAAAAACTTCTAGATTGCACCCCGGGCTCAACCAGTGAAAGTTAATTTGAGGTGGGGTTTGGCATCCTACATTTTATTTATTTTTTCAAGATTTATTTCTTTGAAAGGCAGAGTTACAGAGAGGCAAAGGCAGAGAGAGAGAGATCTTCCATCCACTGGTTCACCCCCCAAGTGGCTGCAATGGCTGGAGCTTCACCGATCAGAATCCAGGAGTCAGGAGCTTCCTCCAGGTGCCCCGTGTGGGTGCAGGGGCCCAAGGACTTAGGCCATCCTCCACTGCTTTCCCTGGCCATAGCAGAGAGCTGGATTGGAAGTGGAGCAGCTGGGACTCAAACTGGTGTCCAACTGGGATGCCAGCACTGCAGGTGGCAGCTTTACCAGCTATGCCACAGCATCAGCTCCAGCAGTCTACATTTTAAATAAGCATATGGAATAAGTTTTGAGGGCCATGGAGCCTACTTCTCCAACAAAAGGAACTGATCTGTTTTAATTTCTGGATCAGAGAGTGCCACCTTCTAGAATGTGTTCAGATATAAACCCAAGTAGCAATATTCATGAACACTTTCCATGGTCTTGCGAGGCAGTGGGTTGACTTGGGCTCCCTTCAGTCTCAGTGTTTGTAGGGAGCACATTTTGTGTGGGAGCAGGATTTTTAGACTTGCAGTTCTGAGGACATTACTGCTTCCTTGCCCTTGGCTCTGTTGTTCCAGGAGTCTCCTCTTTCCCAAGAAAAGAGTGCAGAAGAAGGTGAAGTGGCAGCTCTGCACCTCACAGCCAGATCCCAGGTGAGTGTGAGTGCTAATGATTGTGGAAATCCCACCTTACTTCTCAAAGTACAGGTGCATTCCTTTGTGATACGGAGTTTCTTTGTCCACTAGATCCACTCTATAGAGAGCTGAGTTCTAGGCAATTACAAAGGGCTCAGTAGAAAATGTCTCCTACTTACCCATGGTTCCTTTCTTCTCCATCCATATTTATTGTTTGGCAGACAAATAAGCAGTATTTTCCTCTTTCTACCTGCTGTGCTAATTTCTGTTTGGTCATATGGGAAACTATTTTGCAGATAATGTGGTACATGTCACTTAAAACTTGTTTTTCTATGGGGAAACAACACACATATGCCTTTGAAGGAATTTAGGAAAGCACCTTAAATGCTGATGTGATTCTAAAAACAAGTGTCTGGATAGTTAAAAGGAAGACCTATGAGAATCCAGTGGTCACAATTAGAATTCAGCCCTCCAAGATGAAGTATGCTGAGGTAGTGTGTCTGCAATTGTAAGTTGTTGCCCTTCCCCCCACAGGGCCAGAATAGCTAATAATAAGAATTGTTGGGGCTAACATTATGACACAGTGGGTTAAGCTTTTGCTTCTGACGTGAGCATCATGTATCGGAGTGCTAGCTTGAGTCCCAGCTGCTCCACTTCCAGCCCAGCTTCCTGCTGATGGTGCTTGGGCTGCTGCCATCTGCATGGGAGACCTGGATAGAATTTCTGGCTCAGCATTGACTGTTGTGGACATTTCAGGAGTTAACCAGTGAATGGAGGATCGATCTCTCTAGCTCTCACTCTCTCTCCCCTCCACTCCCTCGTCCTCTCTCTCATTCTCCCTGTTGCTCTGCCTTTCAAATATATATATATATATATAAAATATATATATTTAAATTGCTGAATTTAGGTGGTAGTCATACTATATGGGTGATCATTGTGTTTGTCTTTCAAGTTTATACATTTTGAAAAGTTTTATTTGAAGGAGCTGAGGAGAAAGGGAGCTGTCCATGTTGTGTGTGGAGTGCCACAACCCAAAGATTCCTCTGCCTTTCTCTTGGCCACTGTGATCCAGGGCATACACAGTAATTACTAGACACTGGCAGTGTGTATACAAGTGACTTTGCAGGTCCTTTATATACTTGCTGTCTTCCATTGGCTTCTCAGCCACCTTACATTACTCTTGAAGACTTTATTAGTCAGTTGGAGCTGATGAAAAAAACTGGCTTAAGCAAAGAGAGGTATTTATTGACTGAAATGTTATTGAAAAATTGAGGTCTGGCCAGATGTGAGGCCCAGGAAATAATGTTAAAACCTATTGTCTTCATTTCACAAAGCTTTCTTTTTCTCCATGGGTTTTGCTCTCAAGCACAATTTTCCTCCAGCATTGGCTACAAACAGGTTTAGGCTTACTTACATCTTCTCATGTTGAGGGCCAGAGAAAAGAGGCAGCTTCTTTCCTAGAAATTCTGGCAGAAGTGCTGAGATTAATTCTATCAAGTTAATTTGCCCGTATCTGAACCAGTTACTGGTCAACTCTATGTGGAACTCTGTGTGGAATAGACTTACACATACGCTACAAACATATCTCACCCAAGAGTCAGTGCTACCCAGACTATACCGACTCAATGAAAGTGCCCAGGGATCAGGGCTAGAGGGAACGTCAGGGTTCATGTAGTAGAGGGAGGGTGATTACTTCATCCATTCCAACCCTGTGATACTGGATTCAAGATTGTTGTAGCAGCAGGATGGTTGGAAACTGTTAGAGAAATTAAAAACACCTCTGGTTTTGCAGGTCTTTTCTTGTTAGAATTTGACTTGGCTATTTTTTATCTTTTACTTACAAAATTTTCTAGCCTATTTAACAAGAAAGAACAGCACAGACTAGAAATGTAAAGGTAATATTACTTTCTCACCTCTCCCTACTGATGTATATTTTCCCATACTTTTGTTTGAGCTTGCACTACTGTAGGCATCTATTGTATTGTATTTCCTTCCATTTCCTTTCTAGTCTCCAGCCTTGGCAATAATATTTTGTTTGGGTGGCCTATTATGTAAACAGGATATAGCTTTTTAGAAAACAAACAAAAAACCTTTTAATAAGGAAATTTACTCATTCACATTTAAAGTCACTTGCCAAGTGACTTTTAAGATTTGTTTATTTGAAAGGAAGTTACAGAGAGGCAGAAAGAGAGAGAGATCAATCTCCCATCTGCTGGTCACTCCCCAGATAGCCCCAATGGCCAAAACTGAGCCAATCTGAAGCCAGGAGCCAGGAGCTTCTTCTGGATCTCCCACATGGGTGCATGGGCCCAAGGACTTGGGCCATCTTATACTGCTTTCCCAGGCCATAGCAGAGAACAGGATTGGGAGTGGAGTGGCTGGGACTTGAACCAGCGCCCATATGAGATGCCAGCACTTTACCCGCTATGCCACAGCACTGCCGCACCAAGTGACTTTTATGTTTCTGTTTCCTATGCTTTCTTTGTTTCTCCTTTGGTATTTTCCCTCCTTTTAAGCAGTGGTTTATGCAGAAAGTGAGGGATGACAAAGAGGCTGTCGCATGTAACTGACCAAAAGTGTATTTTGTGTCCCAGACAACAGTGACATTCAAGGATGTGGCCATGGACTTCACACTGGAAGAGTGGGAGAAGCTGGGCCCTACACAAAGGGCAGTGCTGCTGGAGAACTACAGGAACCTGGTCTCACTGTGTAAGAACAGACTCACTCTCTGACTTGAAACCTACTCAGGGAGATGTCGTCACTTTATAAAAGTAAAAACAGCTTAACAAAGTGTCCATTCTTTGGAACATTGAGAAAAATCTGTTTCTGCTTTATGTTCTTGGTAAAATGTGTGTGCTTGCTCTGAGTCCGGATTCAAGTGACAGAAACAAAATCCACATCTTGGTTCAAGGAATCGAATGTATCATTAGGATTTCTTTTGTTTATTTGCAGTCAGTTGGCTGGGCTTCACTCAGCTTTATTCTTACATCTCCCACATGGCAGAGATGGCCATTGGCAGCCCCAGTGCTATGGTATTCTTCCTGTTAGAGAGATCAGCAAAAACAAAAAAATGCCTACAAATAGTGTCACAAGCCCAGCACTGGAGCCGGAAAAGCCAAGGACTCTCTGGCCTCTTCTGGATCCTTTGCCTGTGTGTGTGTGTGTGTGTATGCAAACCTGTATGCATATGTTTGTATGCAGATAAGCCCCTCCCAAACCTCACATGGCAAATCCCATCAGAAACTTCTACTACTACCTGAAGAAGGAGGGAAGTAAAAACCAGACAAAACTTCTAATTACTGCAGTCATAATTTTGTCCTGCTGCCATGAGGTCCCACTTTTTCCATTTTCTTTCCTAAGATAGCACTAATATGTAATATCTCTCTGGAATTTCCTGACACAATTAAAAGACATTCTCATCTTTTGACTGATGAACAATTCATCTGTACAAATCCATTTAGCTACTTCTTACCAGATCTTTCTGTAATAACTTGTCTTCTTTGTAGATCAAGGGGGTGGAAACTATGCTGTAGATCTTTATGCATACCACAAGTATCTAAGACCCATTTCTTCTTTCTTTCCTTTCCTTTTCTTTTTTTATGAATAGGGCTTCCCATTTCCAAACCTGAGAGCTACGATTTGGAGAATGGAAAAGAGCCATTGATGCTTGAGAGAAAAGTGCCCAGTAGCAGCTATCTAGGTGAGTCGGCGATGGGCGTCTTTAGACATGACAGTCCAGCAGGACAGTGAAGAAGTGGCATTTTCACTGCCCAAGGAAGAATATTAGGAGTGTAATGTGCCTTTATTTTTTTAAATCTTTTAAATTCTAAATCATTTCAGATACATACAGAAGTCCAGAAAAGAAAGTAATATGCATGTATTCATCACCAAGACTAAAGACATGGTAATATTTTGCCTCATTTGCCTCTTTCTTCACAATATAAAATGCATAAAAGCATTATAACTGCATCTTAACTGTACAGTCCTAATTTTCACAAAGTAAAGACATCCACATACCCAGTGGCTAGATCAGGAAAACAACTCAGCAGCACCCCTACAGGCCCCTCTTTGTATCACCTCTCTTCTCCCAAGGGTAACCTGATCCTAACTGGATACACCATAGACTAATTTTGACTGCTCTTGAGCTTCACATAAATGAAGCCATATTGTATATATTCTTGTGTCTGGCTTCCTTTGCAGAACATTAGCTTGTGCATATCATTGTATTTCCCTCATTCTCATTGTTGTACATGCTTCCATTATGTCAGTATACCATTTATCCATTCTCCTGAAGGTAGGAATTTGAATAGTTTCCAGTTTGGGGCTAACATTGCTGCTATTTATATTCTTTACATGTCTTGGTGAACACATACATGCAGTCCTATTGGATATATACAATTAGAATTATTAAGCTATGAGGTAGGTGTGTGTTCATTTTTAGTAGGTAACACCAAAGAGGTTTGTAGCATCATCATTCTAGATACCCACCAGCACAATTTGTCAGTTCTATTTGTTCCACATGTTTATCAACACCTAATTGTCTGTCTTCATTTGAGCCATTCTTAGGAATGTGTGATATCTTTTACTTAATAAAAATATTAGACTCAGTTAAAACCCTTTCATTCTCTTCCTCTACTAGAAATAACACTATATCTAGAAATTGATATGAATCACTTCCCTGTTTGCATCCATATGTATGTATACACACATATAGTTATGTGTGTACATAAAACAATATATATATATATATACTTTGTTATTTTTTCCTTCTGTTGTATTTTTTAACTTCATATTGTCTTTTTGTATTAAGCTATGTTTTAACACATAAGAATCATATTTATTTTAACTGTTATGGAGTAAGTCCACTATATAAATAAACTCAGCAGTTTATTTTTTATTTCTGTACTATTAGTAGCAGAGTTGCAATGATCATCCATTTATTGTCTCCTTATATATTCATGTTGATAGTTGGTTTAGGGTGCGTAACAGGAAGAGAAATTACTGAGACTTAATGTGTCACAGATTTAGCTTTATTAGGGATGCAAAGCTCCTACTGCCATGCTGGCCAACAGTTAATGTTTTCAGACTTGTTATTTTCATCAGTCTGACTGGTGTAAAATGCTATTACATATATATATATTTACTTGAGAGGTAGAGTTAAAGACAATGAGAGGGAAAGAGAGAGAAAGGTCTTCCATCCACTGGTTCACTCCGTATTTGGCCTCAAAGGGGCAGAGTTGCAGTGATCTAAAGCCAGGAACCAGAAGTTTCTTCCGGGTCTCCCACGTGGGTGCAGGGGCCCAAGTACTTGAGCCATCTTCTGCTGTTTTCCCAGGCCATAGCAGAGAGCTGGATCAGAAGTGGAGCAGCCAGGACTTAAATCGGCACCCATATGGGATGCCAGCACTGCAGGCGGCAGTTTTTCTTTTTTTTTTTTTTTATTTAGTAAATATAAATTTCCAAAGTACAGTTTATGGATTACATTGACTTCCCCCCCATAATTTCCCTCCCACACGCACCCCTCCCATCTCCTGCTCCCTCCCCCATTCCATTCACATCAAGATTCATTTTCAATTATCTTTATATACAGAAGATCAATTCAGTATATATTAAGTAAAGATTTCATCAGTTTGCACTCACACAGAAACAAAAAGTATAAAAATACTGTTTCAGTACTAGTTATAGCATTAATTCACATTGGACAACACATTAAGGACAGATCCCACATGAGAAGTAAGTACACAGTGACTCCTGTTGTAGACTGAACAATTTGACACTCTTGTTTATGGCATCAGTAATCTCCTTAGGCTCTAGTTATGAGTTGCCAAAGCTATGGAAGCCTTTTGGGTTCGCAGACTTTGATTTTATTCCGACAGGGGCATAGTCAAAGTGGAAGTTCTCTCCTCCCTTCAGAGAAAGGTACCTCCTTCTTTGATGGCCCATAATTTCCACTGGGATCTCACTTGCAGAGATCTTTCATTTGGGTCTTCTTTTTTTTTCCAGAGTGTCTTGGCTTTCCATGCCTAAAACAGTCTCACGGACTCTTCAGCCAGATTCGAATGCCTTAAGGGCTGATTCTGAGGCCAGAGTGCTATTTAGGACATCTGCCATTCTATGAGTCTGCTGTGTATCCTGCTTCCCATGTTGGATTGTTCTCTCCCTTTTTGATTCTATCAGTTAGTATTAGCAGACACTAATCTTGTTTGTGTGATCCCTTTGACTCTTAGACCTATCAGTGTGATCAATTGTGAACTGAAGTTGATCACTTGGACCAGTGAGATGGCATTGGTACATGCCACCTTGATGGGATTGAATTGGAATCCCCTGGCACATTTCTAACTCCACCATTTGGGCAAGTCCGATTGAGCATGTCCCAAATTGTACATCTCCTCCCTCTCTTATTCCCACTCTTACATTTAGCAAGGATAACTTTTCAGTTAAAATTAAACACCTAAGAATAATTGTGTGTTAATTACAGAGTTCAACCAATAGTACTAGAACAAAAAATATTAAAATGGATAAAGTATTACATTGTACATCAACAGTCAGGACAAGAGCTGATCAAGTCACTGTTTCTCATGGTGTCCATTTCACTTCAACAGGTTTCCCCTTTGGTGCTCAGTTAGTGGTCGCCAATAGGGAGAACATATGATATTTGTCCCTTTGGGACTGGCTTAATTCACTCAGCATAATGTTTTCTATATTCCTCCGTTTTGTTGCAAATGATTGGGTTTCATTATTTTTGACTGCTGTATAGTATTCTATAGAGTACACGTCCCGTTTTGGTTCCAGGTCTTAGCTATTGTGAACTGAGCTGCAATAAACATTAATGTGCAGACAGCTATTTTTTGCCAATTTAATTTCCTTTGGGTAAATTCCAAGGAATGGTATGGCTAGGTTGTATGGTAGGGTTATATTCAGGTTTCTGAGGAATCTCCAGACTGACTTCCATAGTGGCTTAACCAGTTTGCATTCCCACCAACAGTGGGTTAGTGTCCCTTTTTCCCCACATCCTCTCCAGCATCTAACCAGGGTGAGGTGAAACCTCATTGTACTTTTGATTTGCATTTCCCTGATTGCTAGTGATATTGAACATTTTTTCATGTGTCTGTTGGCCATTTGGATAACCTCTTTTGAAAAATGTCTATTGAGGTCCTTGGCCCATCTCTTAAGTGGGTTGTTTGTTTTGATGTTGTGGAGTTTCTTCATCTCTTTGTAGATTCTGGTTATTAACCCTTTATCTGTTGCATAGTTTGCAAATATTTTTCCCATTCTGTCGGTTGCCTCTTCACTTTCCTGACTGTTTCTTTTGAAGTACAGAAACTTCTCAATTTGATGCAATCCCAAATGTTAATTTTGGCTTTGACTGCTTGTGCTTCTGGGGTCTTTTCCAAGAAGTTTTTGCCAGTACCTGTATCTTGCAGGGTTTCTCCAATGCTCTCTAATAATTTGATGGTGTCAGGTCATAGATTTAAGTCTTTAATTCATGTTGAGTGGATTTTTGTGTAAGGTGAAAGGTAGGGGTCTTGCTTCATGATTCTGCACATGGAAATCCAATTTTCCCAGAACCATTTATTGAATAGACTGTCCTTACTCCAGGGACTGGTTTTGGATCCTTGATCAAATATGAGTTGGCTGTAGATGTTTGGGTTGATTTCTGGTGTTTCTATTCTGTCCCATTGGTCTATCCATCTGTTTCTGTATCAGTACCATGCTCTTTTGATTACAACTGCCCTGTAGTATGTCCTGAAATCTGGTATTGAGATGCCTCCGGCTTTGTTTCTGTTGTACAAGATTGCTTTAGCTATTCGAGGTCTCCTGTGTCTCCATATGCATTTCAGCATCATTTTTTTCCAGTTCTGAGAAGAATGTCTTTGGTATCTTGATTGGTATTGCATTGAATGTATAAATTGCTTTTGGGAGAATGGACATTTTGATGATATTGATTCTTTGAATCCATGAGCATGGAAGATTTTTCCATTTCTTGGTATCCTCTTCTATTTCTTTCTTTAAGGTTTTGTAATTTTCATTGTAGAGATCTTTAACGTCCTTGGTTAAGTTTATTCCAAGGTATTTGATTGTTTTTTGTAGCTATTGTGAATAGGATTGATCTTAGAAGTTCTTCCTCAGCCATGGCATTGCCTGTGTATACAAAGGCTGTTGATTTTTGTGCATTGATTTTATATCCTGCTACTTTGCCAAACTCTTCTATGAGTTCCAATAGTCTCTTAGTAGAGTTCTTTGGGTCCCCTAAGTAAAGAATCATATCATCTGCAAAGAGGGATAATTTGAGTTCTTCCTTCCCAATTTGTATCCCTTTAATTTCTTTTTCTTGCCTAATAGCTCTGGCTAGACCTTCCAGAACTATATTGAATAGCAGTGGTGAGAGTGGGCATCCCTGTCTGGTACCAGATCTCAGTGGAAATGCTTCCAACTTTTCCCCATTCAATAGGATGTTGGCCGTGGGTTTTTCATAAATTGCTTTGATTGTATTGAGGAATGTTCCTTCCATACCCAGTTTGCTTAGAGTTTTCATCATGAAATGGTGTTGTATTTTATCAAATTCTTTCTCAGCATCTATTGAGATAATCATTTGGTTTTTCTTCTGCAGTCTGTTAATGTGGTGAATCACATTGATTGTTTTGCACACATTGAACCATCCCTGATTTTTCCTTGAAATCCTTCATCCATTTGGAATCA